TCCCGGCTTCTTTCTTCTTTACGGCAATTTTAGCGCGCTTTATTGTCTTTGCGTTTACCGTGTTTCAACTTCAAGCATCAGCGTTTTTACTGTTCTGAACATCAACGATGTAAGCGATCTTCCATCACCAGAGCATGGCTAATGTGCTGCAGTTAGCCGCAAGTGTGAAACTTTAACGTGCGAAACACATCGATACGGATAATAGGACAAGCCACTGACCCAACATGTTGTTTCTCATGTGGTAACTCCAAAGATCGTGTAGTGTGTAGTGTAGTACAGAGAATCTTTGGCAACTCCGCTGTCTTCTAAAAAATAGTCTGTGTGTATCCCCAAAGACCGTGTCTACATGGTCTTTGGTATCCCAGGATGTGATGAAATCACATTAAATACTAGATCTAAAATAAGCAGCCAATCAGGCAGATGCGTCATTCTACATTTATTTAGCCGCAATACTGTATTGTGAAGGGAGGCATCATCGTCAACACACTCGACTCAATCAAATTTACCAACAAGTTTTAGTTCCAATTGGGGGTGGGAACTCCCGAAAAGGGCCATTCTTTTCTTGAATTTGATTTTCTGGCAATTCAGGGTCTCTGGCATTCTGCTTTGGATTTGGACTTTTAAACGAATGAAACTACCAAATCACCTGAATCGGCGCTAGCTCTGCTACAACGCGTGTAGAATCTATATTCTAGATCAACTCTACATCTAGAGTTAGATCTAGACCTCGTTAATTGAATTTAAATTAGAATCAGAACACTGTACACTGTCGCACTGACAGTCGTATAAAGGCTATGGCTATAGACTAGATCTAGATCTAGATATCTATATTTTTTCTAGAATCTAGACTTACCTGCTGAGCCAGACTACGCTATTATTCAGCCTTTTTTCTGTGTGCACTCTAACTCTAGATTCTAGATGCACATTCTATACACATACTTACTTAGGCCTAGCCTACACTCCACGCCACCTGCAATGGTCCTGCAACTGCAAGCACAACAATTAAAATAAAAAAATTGACAAGCCTTGCAGTACTTAGCCTAGATTAGGCCTGGTCATAGAGTTTTATCCCCTTTTATACTATAGTGTACATCTATGGGCCTGGCCTATACCTTTAGTGTCAAGTGTCAAGTGTCAAGTCAAGGCGCAATGCTCATTGCTCAATGCACTGACACAGCGCGCATATTATTTGGCGTGCAGTGTGCGGTGTCTTTAAGTTCCCAACTCCCAACTTGCCTCTTCAATAAAATCTGGGAATATCCTCGGCCTTCACCAGAGTTACCAAGTAAACTTTTGGCGAAAAAGAGCACCGCCCTTCTCTGTGTGTTTGGGAGACTGTGGAAGTCGAGGAAAGAACAATTATATTGAGAGTGGCTTTAGAATTTAGAAAGTAGAGAAGTGTAAGAAGACCATTGGCACAAATAGAAAGAATTTTATTATCCCAAAGTAGAAAGCCGCTCAGGATGTATTGATCAGTATTACTGATCCTTGAAAATCACAAGTGTAAGTTCATAATTTTGTTATTGAGACCTTTTTGGTTGATCTTTTTACACACTATCATCATCAGGGAGGAGATCCTCAGCCTCAGAGGGCCGGCACTTACCGTGACAAGGTCAACTGAGCAAGCTATATATACAAGAGTTGGTGCACTTAGAGAATTCAATTGATGACTTATATTTTGGTAAATTTGATGACTTATCGAGCTAACTTTTTAGAGCAACATTGAAGCACATTTGACAGCTCCAGTCAAGGACAATTTAATTCGAGTTACCGTGTGGAATCCGCCCAATAAATTCCAACAAAAGGGGGTGCAGGTTCTCCCCCTCCTGCTAAAGCCACAAACATTATAGGCCACCTCTATTCTCACCCGCTGCGCGTTCACCAAATTTTGCGTTCACCCTAAACCACAGAATTCTACACTGTGATAACAGAAAAATTGTAGAATTCTGTGCCGTGAACAAACGTTCCATTACAACTGTAGCCTACTAAAAGAGTACAATTTTGTCTGTGGGTAGGGTAGAGGGTGCATATTTCGACACCCCTTCTGGCAGGTCTGAGACTGCTGCTGTGTTCATTGGTCTGTGTAGTCGGATAAAATCAATTGAGCGGCGAGGTTCTGTCACCAGATGGTGGAGAAACCTCTTAGAAACTGTTTGTTGTATAAAACAAGTGAATGTGCCTGTCAAGTTGATTGTAACCCTCTCTTAAAGTGTGTGGGGTGCGTAATTCAAAATTTCGACACCCCTTGTTCTAATTCCGACACCCCTGTGAGGGGAACTTCGACACCGGTTGTTCCAATTACGACACCACTGTGGGGAAATGCGACACCCAAGGCCCGGACTGGCCCAGTGCTGTAGTTAGGCCTAGGCCTAGGCTAGGCTAGGCCTAGGCTAGGCTTGGGTCCAGGAGGTCGTGGGTTCGATCCTCGGCATTTCAGTATTAGCATTTCTTTTCTGCTTGACACACGGCATTAATTTCATTAAAGGAAAAGTAGTTGGTCTGTCGTTTGGCTAGTATACACTGACTGAGTGAGGCAAACATATTGCCCTGTCCTTTCACCTGATTGTGGTTTCGCTGCATCATCAAATATCCACAATATTATTATCACTACAATTATCATAATTATTAACATAACCATCAGCGACAGCAGCATCACTGACCTCAACATCAGTAACAGCTGCAACAACTGAATTAGTATTAGTTCATTACCATGATCATCACCAGCACCAGCATTGCCCTACCATCTTCATCATCACCATCACCATCATGTCATCATCTTTATCACCACCGCTACCACCAGCATCATCGTTACTAGGCCTATCACCCGCATCATCATCTCCACCACCATAACTGTAGAGCCCAAGGTAGTGCTAGTTTAGTAAAATCATTGAACAAGAAACAAGGCGTAAATCATCAAAATTTATTACTCTGGAATTCAGTGCAACACATGCTGCCCTCGCTGAATTCCTATCATTAGGCTACCAGGTGCAAAAGAACCCTATAAAAGTATTAAAAAGGAACAAAATAAAAATCAACAACAAAATGAAACAAAACAAACAAATTTGACTTCTCAAGTTCAGTAGACTCATCTGAGTCATCTGCTGCTGCTGCTCCTATGCTGCTGCTGATGTTGCATTTATTCCTGCTGGTGCTGTTGCATCTGTTGTTGTTGCATCTGTTGTTGTTGCATCTATTGTTGTTGCATCTGTTGTTGTTGCATCTGTTGTTGTTGCATCTGTTGTTGTTGCATCTGTTGTTGTTGCATCTGTTGTTGTTGCATCTGTTGTTGTTGCATCTGTTGTTATTGCTGCTGCTGTGGTTCTTGTTGTTGCTGCTGCTGTGGTTCTTGTTGTTGCTGCTGCTGTGGTTCTTGTTGTTGCTGCACTGCTGTGGTTCTTGTTGTTGCTGCTGCTGTGGTTCTTGTTGTTGCTGCTGCTGTGGTTCTTGTTGTTGCTGCTGCTGTGGTTCTTGTTGTTGCTGCTGCTGTGGTTCTTGTTGTTGCTGCTGCATTTGTTTCCACTGCTGCTGTTGTTACTGTTGCTGCTCTTGTTGGTCTTGTTGCTGCTGCTGTTGCTGCAGCTGCTGCATCTGCTGTTGCTGTTGCTGCATCTGCTGCACACACACACACACACACACACACACACACACACACACACACACACACATACACACACTCATACACACACAAACACACACACACACACACACACATACACACACTCATACACACACAAACACACACACACACACACACATACACACTCACGAACACATAACACGCACACATGTACACACATATGTACGCCAAACACAGACACACGCACACACACACACACAAACACGCACATACGCGCACACACACATCTACTTGCTTATCACACGCACACGCTTACACATCGTCACGAAATGAGCAAAAAATAATATTCACACTGCAATTCACAAAATACATAAATGGATACATAGTCATATACATAACATTGTATTGAAAATGAATCTACTGACATAGTGTCGAAATAACCCACAGGGGGTGTCGACATTACCACCAGGGGTGTCGAAATAGCAGCATGGGGTGTCGAATTATTGACAGAAGGGGTGTCGTAATTCTGAGAGTGGCATTTTTTGATGTGGGGAAATTCGACACTTTTTGAGCACATATTTAACCAGTTTAAAGCAATAAAATCTATCAAATTTTGTTGAAAACAGCAATTTTAATCATCTAATATTCATTTAGTACATTCATTTATCACATACAGCCTTTTACACAAGAAATAGGACTTGTTTACTCAACTTGTGATATTGCTGCTTTAGAAACACGGAGCTTGAAAACGTTCGAAATTGGACGCGCAAAAGAGCGGTGTCACTTCTTGGGGGTTTATGGGAAAACTATTACACCTATATTTAGAAATGACGCACATAATTAAAAAAAGATAGTTCGGCTGCCGGTTAAAAATAGACCCGCGCGCATAAGTTGTAGTATTTCCGCACCGTTCGTTGTTTTTGGAGTGCACCCCACGAGGGGTGTCGGAATAGCACACAGTGTCGGAATATGCACCCTCTACCCTAGTGGAGAGAGAAAGAGAGAGAGGAGTAGCGTGAGAATTTCCGGGCAAAACAAAATGGCGACCCGAGCATTTGCCAAAAGGTGGGATACCTGGGTGTGACAAATGAGGTCCAAAATCAACTTTATGTAATAATTCTTTAATCACCCATATTGTATAGCCTAATGATTGCTCTTTCAGGCTCAGTAACTGCCAAAGCTGTATATGCAAGGGTCTTGGTGTAATTCTGACTTGAATGACGGAAATAGCAAAAAGTTCGTTCATAACAATGATGACACAAATTTATGAATACTCAACAAAGTTCCTTTCTTCAGCTAGGCTGATGTTATATTTTGAGACATAGCAAATAACTTCCAAAACTACATAGAATTGACAATTTATAAAAATCTTTTATTAATTTTTGATAAAATTACTTTTTTGTGTCATAATAGTTATGAACGAACAATAAGTGACCAAAATACTATCAATTATATCAAGTTTCATCGACTAGAATTGTCTAAAATAACACTCAATTGACTAATTATAGTCAAGTGATAAATGAAAGACCATTAAACAGCTATTTTTAAACGCAGACTGGTCTTAAGGCATATTATGCATAAATTTAAGGCCGGCACTATTTCTCCGAACGTTCGGGAAAATAAAGCTAGGCACTATTTCTCCGAACGTTCGGGAAAATAAAGCTAGGCACTATTTCTCCGAACGTTCGGGAAAATAAAGCTGGGCACTATTTCTCCGAACACTCTGAAATCACGTCCTTTCCCGCAAATTTCGGATATTATATAGATCTATAATTATAGTATAGGCCTACCAAAGATTGTTCGTATACAATATGGTTCAAGCGGTCCAAAAAATGTCCGCAGTAAATATTTATATAAAAAGAATGCTACAATTCCAAACAGTTTTTCGCTACAGATATGACGAGTTGCCTATGAAGGGTGCTGCTCTTAAACGTAATGTGTTGTGTTCACTCGTGTGCTGTCTAGATCTAGATCTAGATCTACGGAGGGTTATTGATAACGACACATAGAACTATTAGAACTGGCATCTGCGGTGGTCACTGCCACGACCAATAATGTACCGACACTGGCAGGCCCCTTAAGGTGTGTGATTCCATAATTTACATGTAATATCCTCTCCTTTAAAAAAAAAAAAAATTACTCACATTTAGGGTTAAAACAGCCAATCTTCTTCGGACAGGTGGACACACGCCCTCATTTGTTAATGTTTGTTGTTTATCATGGGCGGTTCTAATTTTGATTTCATTCTGTTGTGAAACCTTTCTTTTTCACGTTTTTACACTCATCTAAAAATCTCTAGACTAGCTCTTGAAAATTGAAATAAATATAGACCCAAAAATTTGTTCCTGTGTGTGTGTGTGTGTGTGTGTGTGTGTGTGTGTGTGTGTGTGTGTGTGTATGTGCGTGTGTGAGTGTGTCTGTGTGTGATAGTAAGTGTGTAAGTGGAGAGTGAGTGTGTGTGTGTTTGTTTTTCGGGCTTTATTTCAGCCTTCATTCAGTAACAGTTCAAAGTATACAAAAATAGAAACACAGGATCCATTCACTCCAGGGCTCACGAGTCGTTCATCTTTTTCAGTTTCACTCATTCATTCAATTCCCGTGTTCTCTCCCGCGGCTCATCCCCGTCCGCATGGCTTTCACACCCCACCCCCTCCCTCCAGGCATACACAAAGAAAATCTCACTCATTCCCTTGCACCCTGCGAACCATGGACAATAATATAGGCAAAACACTGCCTAAGCTGCATTATTTTCGTTCGTGAGCTGTGGACCAGGCCAGGGGGGTCGGTGTCGTCGTCTTGTAGTTGCTGTCGGGTGTGGATACACTTGCACATTCTTCCTTTAACCCGCTCTTTCACTCACACTGTCTCTCCTTCCACAGCTCAGCTCGTCATACGTTCAAAAGTTGTCCATTGGTCATGTTTGTTTAATTAGTGTGTGTATAAGTTTGTGTGTGTACATGTGCATGATGGTGGTGGGTTTTACTGAAGGTTGTCTGTAGGCGGGCTTTCCATGCGGTGTTCCTTCCCCCAGACCAGAGGCAAAATGAAAGTTGGCGCCGAACTCTCGCAATAAATAGGCAAAACATCACGAGACCGGAAGCCGGAAACCGTTCGGAGAAATAAAGATGGGCACTATTTCTCCGAACGTTCGGAGAAATAGTCACTTCGTAAATTTAAAGTTCGTTCATAACCATTATGACACACTGTTTCGTTCATAACTATTATGACAAATTTTACTTTTGGCCCCTAAAATTTACTTATATTGTTCTGTCTTTCACATAAAACGGTTTTCATTTATGAGGCTTTCCTTAAAATGATAGATTCCTCTATGTAGGGAGAATTCAAAGTTTATATTTCCTGAAAAACCCTTAGAATACCTTTAAAATGGTTCGTTCATAACAATTATGACAAACTTCAATTTTGACCTAAAAATTTACTCATTTTGATCTGTCATTCATTTTTTTAAACTTTTATTAAATGAAACTCTCCTCATAATATGTATCTCTGTACATGTTTTTAAAGTTTGTTAACACTGAAAAGCCCTCAAAATATATAAAATGGACTATAAATAGTTCGTTCATAACCATTACTACAAAAGTATAATACTAATTAAAATCCACACCCATACACTTATGATAAAAATCAAAATATCAGAATGTATACAAGGTCTATTCTGTCCTTTAGTTGGGTTAAAGTTAAAAATACATCCCAAAACAACTGTAAATTACATGGAATTAGGTTTCGTTCACAACCGTTATGACACACTGTTTCGTTCATAACTATTATGACAAATTTTACTTTGGGCCCAAAAAATTAACTTATTGTTCTGTCATTCACATAAAATTGTTTTAATTTATGAGACTCTCCTCAAAATAAGGTTATATGTTGGAAGAATTCAAAGTTTAATCACTGAAAAACCCTTAGAATACCTTTAATTGTTCGTTCATAACTATTATGACAAACTTCAGTTTTGACCTAAAAATTAATATTTTGACCTGTCATTTACTTTAAAATTTCATATTAAATGAAAGTTTCCTCATAATATGTATCTGTGTACATGTTTTTAATGTTTATCAACTCTGTAAAGCCCTCAGAGTACAATATGTAGTTCGTTCATAACCATTACTACAAAAGTAAAATACTAATTAAAATCCAGACCCATACACTTATCATAAAAATCAAAATATCAGAATATAAGCAAGGTCTGATACATCCTCAAGTTGGGTTAAAATTAAAAATACATCCCAAAACAACTGTAAATTACATGGAATAAGGTTTCGTTCATAACCATTATGACACACTGTCACGTTCATAACATGATGACAATCCATTATGACAAGCATATTTTTGCCTCTTCTTCGCTTCTCTTTTGAATCATCAGCACGATACTCTTCCATGTTCATTCCACCATATAAAAGGATGTTGTGATAGTGGGAAGTCCCTCACATGATATTTTGCAGAAATATCATAAAGTGTTTGTTCATAACATCATTATGACAAACCTGGATTATCTCAATCAAAGTCATATTTAAGCAAAACCATGCGATGGAGCGGAAAATTACCCTTCTGATGGATCAATGTCAAACCAATATTTAATACCGGTCATTTCCCAGGATGATATGTTTAACGATTTGGGTTTTCTAGACCTTGGAAAGTCTGATGATGTAATTATGACACGAGTTATGAACGAACTTATAAATTTTACTCAGCAATAACATCATTAATATAAAAAAATAAAACCCTTTTAATGGACACACGCTGTTATGATGGTGTATACAAACTATTTTCAATGTTTGAATGCACTACTGTTTGATAGTTTAAGATTAACAATATTCTGTATTTAACATACAATTACGTGTGCACTCAGGATGAGTAAAAAATGCCCTATTTTTAGTACTATTATCTTTCTATGTAGAGATATAAGATGCACACATCAATCCACTTGCTCATGCAGCTTGACCAACTTATTTCCTTGCCATATGCATAAAGTTTTCAGAAGAAAACATATTTTACCATGAGTAGTGGTTGATTAAAAAAGTCCTCATGCAAACACCCCCACCTTTTGGCAAAAGCTCACCCGCGTAGTTCGGCTCGATTCGAAAAGTTAAATAGCCGTAGCATCTTTGTAGACAACCAAATTAATTTACTTTTGTGTTTTAACATAATTTTTTAACTTTGTTTTGGTCAATTTGATCGTCCACACCGATAGACAGTATTCAGAAAGAGAGAGAGAGAAGAGGGGAGGAGTTGATCTTGCGAGAACTTCTGGGCGGGTGAGAATAGCCACTTTCAACATTATAATACTTTTACAAACGAAGTATTATATTTATACAGACCCGGTAACCGGGAACAAAGTCAGGAAGTATACAGACCCGGTAGCGGAAATCTTTTGTGATTTTGGAAAGTTTCAGTACCCAGACCTGGTAGAGTGTGTGTGTGTGAGAGAGAGAAAAGGGGGTAGAGAACAGGGGGAAGTGTTAGCCCAGTTGACAGGGAGATGAGAGAAAGTTAAAGGAAGATAGCAGTAGGAGGGGGAGAAAGAAAGACAGAGACAAACAAAGAGAAAGAGAAGGCGAGCGATACACAGAGGAAAGACAAAGAGAGAAAGAGAAGGGGGAGAGATCGAGAGACAGAAAACAGAAATAGAGAGGGTGGCTGCTCGATTGAAATTTTATGACATTGTTCTTTGCTTCAAATTGTTAAATTGATTCCTTCAACTTCAACTCCAAAACGGAGGAAAAACGATCGTTCATCGAAAAGACTCAGCAATCTTTATTTAGATCTAGGCCTTGAAACTAGATTTCTATGATTATGTGTTTGTCTAGATGATCTAGACCTAGGCCATAAATCTAGAAGAGCCTAGTAGGTCTACCCCAAGGAGGTCGTTGGTATACCCTGAGCCAAGATCAAGAGGGCGCTGAAACTTTCCGAAATTACAAAAGATTTCTCCTACCGGGTCTGTATACTTCGAGACTTTGTTCCCGGTTTCCGGGTCTGTATACACTCCCTTAAATTACAAAATGCTTAAAAATACTGAACCAAACTTTTAAAAAAATATATATATATATATAGAGTAGAGGCGGTAGTCCGCGCTACCCTCAACCTAAGATAAGGTCACCTTGCCAGTCCCCGTTGAGAGGGAATGTAACCCCTCAATGACTGATGAAAAGTAAATTTCTTCTTTTATCGTCGGTCCAGCGAGCTATGCCTGCTTTGTTTGTCCTTCTCTCTCAGTAGTAGTGGTTTTTGTACAGTGTGACAAAGTGAGGACGGGTGTGTGCGACAGTCAGCGGGGATGCGCGCTCCTGTCGGAGGGTGAAGCGTTTTATGGAGGGGCTGCGCACTAGGATAGGGCGGGTTTTGCAACATGTCCTAACAACTTATTATTATGAATCTTAGGCTAACGAAATGATTATATTATTTTTTTACTCACGAAGGAGGAAATATTCTTACAAATTACACAAAAGTTAGTTACAAGTGACACTCATGAGAAAGAATTTTTAAAATTACTGAAGCAAACACTTACACTGTAAACAGTAATCTGTTAGTGAGTCTAGATAACTCTGAAAATCATGAATTAAATATAAGGACTGAAAAGAAGAGCTACATGTGGATCTAAGTGCACATGGATGAACAAAGATATATTGTTCACACTAATTGTATGAAACAAATTGGGATGGGGAGATTAGCCTACACAGCAAAAGAGCTCGATGTCCCTGGCATCCAGGTCTTCCTGGGTCTTGTCCTTCAGGTCCCTCTGATTCTGTTTGACACAGTTGGCGTGCCACCTCTTGTCACAAAGCATGCACTGGGTGCGCACTACTTGTCTTACGGAGGTGGCTCCACACCCAGCACAGTCGACTGTAATGTCCTTTCAGTCGTCAGAGCTGTCGTCATACATCGGCTCTTCTCCTGAGTTAGAGGAATCTTGATCTATTTCTTCTTCTGTGAGGCCACAACCAAAGCATTCATTTCCTTCTGAATTCTCCTCTTCTTAAAATCCTTCTCTTTCTCCTTCTTTGCCTCTTCTCTTTTTGGCGTTCCTTCTTGTCTTCAGCTTGTCCTAGCCGTTCCATCTTTCTCTGCTCCCTTTGCTTCTTTCTCTCTTCCTTCTGCTGTTCTTCTTCCGCCTTCCTCTTCTTTGTGAGTATCATCGCTTTCTGGTCATTTCTACTGATGGACAGTGGCACAGGTGGCTGAGGTCTTTTAATGGTCTTATTCTTCAAACATGGCAGCAATGTGAGCACCTTGTCAATGGTCATCTGCTTGGAGGGGATCTGATGTTCCAGGGCTCTCGCTGATGGCTGGGGGAGCGGAGGAGCCAGTTGTTCAATAGTGTCCGTCAGGTTGGACCACACATTGTAGTCGGGGTCGATCTTGAGGTCATATCCAGTGTCATACTTCTTGAGGTACAGGTCCACCTTCTCCTCCCCAAGCTTAAAGATAATGGAGAATATTTCTTTGAGTCGATGACGGCGAGTTTGTGATGTTGTGGATAGCTCAGAGGCAGAAGAGGTGGATGGGGCAGAGGCAGACGAAGTGGGTGACAAGTGGAGGGTAGGGGCAGGGGACCCTGCAAAGGTGCAGCTGGGTTCAGCTTGTCACTTGTGAGGACAACGTCAGGGTTGTAAAGAAACCGCCGTGACTTGGTGAATGCCCTCATGGCTGTTTCCAGGCTGAGCTGCTGTTGTCCAGGCCTTCAATTCAGGACGCCGGCAAACGTCCTCAGTGTGACAGATTCCATGGTTTCAGTCATGAACTTCCTTACCCCCTCTTGCCACGCTGGCGTGATGGCCCTGAAGAGCGCCTGGTCCAGAGGCTGTGTCAGGTGGCTAGTGTGGGGCTTGAGGCAATATATAATATTGTGACTTTGCTCAACATACCGGTATCGTTTATCAATCCCTTGACCTCAGTTAAAGGAGGGCAGAGAAGCAGGTGGATGAGGAGATTTGTTACTGAGCTAGTATGAATTTTCAACCTTTCAATTTTTTCATCTGTGCCGTATGTTGCATTGCATTTGTACATCATGTACAAAAGGGTAATGATAATTTTTGGCAGTGTTTTCTCCTCTCAAGGAACCGGTTGGTGATCCTGTCTGCTCCTGAAGTGAATGACAGAGATGATGTTAGGTGAATGGTTAAAATAAAGGTATCATTCAGCATACTAATACTCACAGTATAATCTATATATATGTAAAAGAAATGTTTTCCTTTATATTATAATAAAAATTACTTTGTCTGAAATATAATTTGCATACCCACTTTACATTATATTTTTTTGTTTTGTTTGTATAAAAAAGGCCTACATGTACACCCTATTTTTAAAACCATTCTTTTGTGCATTTTGTTTCAGAGACCCAGACATGGCCATGTTCCTCAGGAAATTCCCTTGTCACTTGGTGACAACGAGGTCATCAGTGAAGAATGTGTTTGAAAAGTTATGTCTTCCGTCAGCTGCAAAACTTCCGAGTTTAGACTTCAGCCCGGAGGTATCAACACGTAGAACTTTTTCTGCTCTTAACAGACGAACCTGGGATGTCCAGAGTTTGTCTACAAATGCCAAGTCTTTTGCGAGTCAAGACACTGCAGTGAAAGATGATCGTGGTTATCTTGTCTACCAAGGTCGTGTGGGTCATTTATTCAAAGCACTGAAAATATTTTCTTTGACAACAAGTGGCATTGGTTTAGGTATCCAGCCCTATCTTATCATGACATACCAGGACATGCCTCTGAGTGCAGCCATTCCGTTCTTCGGAGCAGTCAATGGATTCATCTTCATGAACCCAATTCTCATTCATTTTGTAGCCAAGAAGTATGTCTCAGAACTGTATTTCAACCCTGAGACTAAGGTATTCACTGCCATGCTTTTCACATTTTTTGCAAGGCGAGTGCCTTTCACCTTCACGGCTGCCGATGTTGAGGTGCCCGATGTTCCAGGTGTGTTTTCTATGTTCACTGCCAAGGGACGCCCTTTATTTGCACACGAAGGTGATTTTACTAGTCTTCAAGTGTACAAACATCTGATGGGCTTTGATCGACCTCTCGACCTCACATATGATGCTGTGCCAGAAGAAAAGAAGGATAATAAGCATGAATAGGCTGAACTGTTATTATATTATTTGTGATTAATTGTTATTTGGCATGTAGCATCTCTTGGTGTGATTCTTGTTAAATGAGCTCTTTCCTCAAGTATGGTATGGTATGCTTGGCATATGTGTAAGTGTAAGCTGTTGAAGCAGATTCAAACTGGTACAATTTGTGAACTCTTTAAAAAGACATGGTCTAGTGAACGTGACATTTGATTTTGAGTCAGGGAACAAGGGAATTTCATTTTGTACGAGTTTGTGATTTCAAAATCAAAGTCGAAGTGGTGTGAAATGTGTCCATAGCTCTGTAGGCTACTGTATGTTACGGAAAATAAAAATTTGTGTAAAATTAAAATGTATTTTCACCACAGTGTTGTAATTTTTGCTTTTTCACATGGGCTATCAAGGGATTTATTAATTTTTCTCTTTCAATCTTTTGTATGAGTGCCATAATAATAGGAATGAATGGTGAAAAATGTGTCTCTGACAAAAAAGTAGGCTACTGTGTGCTTGATAAGAAATGTGGAATTCCTGAAGAAAGTAGATTATCACCATCATTGGCAGGTTTTCTGTCTTCCCTTTCCCTCGTAACTTCTGTTACCTGTGATTAGGGTGGAAGGTCCTACCTGTACAGATCTTACTTTTTCTTTTTTTACTCTTCCCAAGTTGTGTAGGTTTCTATTTCTGTCAACTGGTTTTGCATTTCCTACTCTCAATGAAGTCAATGTCTGTTTTCGTGATGATATCTTCTCATTATTATATGGGGTATTCAAAATGTCTCATCTTACATAGATGCACCATTAGCTCATCTGATTCATTTACAACGTTCTTGTAATTTACAGTGGAAACTTGATATAACAGGGATGGTGGGAGTAGAGAAATGGTCCTGTTATATCTGATCCCTGTTAAATCCGAAATGCAAGGAAATTGAGCATTTGTGGACTAATCTAGCTGTACTTATTCATGGGTAGTTTCACTAGCCGGAAGTACCCACGAACATGGGTTGTGGCACCGACTTTCTCCTTACGTCCTTAAACCACATCAGAAGAGCTTGGTCCACAGCATCTGCATCGGGTAGTCTCATCTTCTTTCGATCCAGAGCAAACTTATCATTGGAGTATGCTGCCACTATCTTCTCTCTATCCTTGATAATGGTGGGAATCGACCCTTGTGGAATGTCGAACTGACGACAAATTTCTGCCAGTGGAGCTTGCTTTTTGTCAACAGTCTGGATTATTTCATATTTTTTGTCAATTGAAAGGCATTTTCTCTAGCGCTTGACATCGTTGGTAACCATAATGAAAGAAGTAGGCTTAGATCTAGGCCGACCGTTCGTCTCTCTCTCTCTCTCTCTCTCTCTCTCTCTCTCTCTCTCTCTCTCTCTCTCTCTCTCTCTCTCTCTCTCTCTCTCTCTCTCTCTCTCTCTTTTTTTTTTTTTTTTTTTTACACGTTGTTAACTAGCCTTTGTCCCTGCTATAACCGGTTGGGCTCCGATGAGGACCTACTGTTATTGCCGATGACTTTTAATACATGTAGAGACAAAGAGTAGGAAAAACGGGGATTTTAAACATCCCTGTTATTACCGGATGCCTGTTATTACCGGATGCCTGTTATATGGTTTCCACTGTAGTTGTTTGGGCTGTTTTCATGGCTTACCACCCACTTGGCTCAGTCTTCTTATCAGAGAAATGGACTTTCAATGGGGAGATCCCACATAATCTTGGAGAGTACGGTACAATTTTGGGAGACGTTAAGTAAATGTGTATTGCTCTCTAATTGTTTCATTTTTTTGTGACTCATCAAGTGCATCATATGCTTGTAGTACTAGTAGTAGTAGCCAGTGCCTTCTATGTGAAGTCTGAGAGTTTTGGTGTTGAAGTTCTACCTAAGCTAAGATTAGTCTAGTGGCGTTGGTAGCCCAGTGGTTAGGCTACCGGACTCGTAATCGTGAGGTTGAGGGTTCGACAAGTCTCAGCTCGGTTCGACATTGTGTCCTTGGTGGAATAGACACTTTACACGAAATTCCCATTTGGCTCGGTCCTTTTGGATATGGTCAGAGGTCCCGCCTCTTAGTCTTAAATGACCCAATAATGTTGATAGAGGCGTTAAACCCATACCCATTTAAAAGATTAGATCTAGTCTACATTATACATCAGATTTTTTCCCATAATTTTAATGCTGACCGGCGACTGTTGTAATGGTGTTCTCTGTCGTTACACAAGGAGACGTAGGTGGTTGGTGGGTGCTCTGGTGTGGTTTACTCCTTATTTCCTATCAAAATAATCAAACATAATTGTCAATATCTCTCCTTTTTCCTTTTTGTGTTGTTACTCTCTTATGACGCCTCTAATCTTGGGTAGTCATGTGACCTAATTGTATTGGAAGTGCTTTTAGATTCTCTTATGTATGTGGGGGGTTGGTGGGTGCTCTGATGTGGTTTGGTTCTTCTTTCCTATCAAACATCTATCGTCCTTATCTCCCCCTCCTTCTTTTTTATGTTTGTTACTCTCTTGCAACACGACTTTAATCTTCTGGCGCTCATATGACCTTATGCAGTTGCTACCGCGTAAAATTAAAACCTCTAAAACTAAAACAAACAACTTTTGTATAGTGTATGAAAAACAAAGGAGACGTCAGTTCAATTCCCACACATGGAAGTAGAAGTTATTTTGTCCATATTTTATACCGCCTGCCTTGGGACTAGCATGAGTTGGTGTTGCAGCGGAGCTGGCGGTATAACGAGATGGCACCGTTTGTCATCTTGACAAGAGGTAGAGTGGTAGAGACTTATGAGACTAAAAAGACAAACTGCCACTTAGTACCACTCCCCAAGCCTGACAAGGACTAGAGTAAGATTGCTGCTTATCAAGCAATCACGATGAAAAATTGCGTGAGCAAGCTCTTAGAATTAGAAAAAGAGTTGGGGTACTCGATACTCGATTGCAAAGGAGCTAGAAAAGGAAGAGGCACTTTCAGTTCCAGAGACACTGGGTAGCGACAGAAGGGGGAAGGAAACGTGGATGAATGCTGCTGTCCTAGAATCAGATGTTTATAATGGGTTTGAAAGAGGCGAGGAGACTCTGATAGCAGCGCTTGACCTCGAGGATGCCTACAATAGGGTTGGGTACGATCTATGTCCTTTTGAGAACAATGACCAACCTGAAGATTATCCCACAACTCATGATATATGGGTGGGTGAGGCTTTACAGTTACTGAAGAAGAGAGTTGAAATGTGACTGGGAAACTGGACATCTAACTCATGAAACATCTCCCCGGGGTTGCCGCAGGATCGTCACTCTCACTAGTGTTATTCAACATTAATAAATATAAGTTGGAATCACTTCTGGACAACTGGAAGGCCTGAGGCGTGTTCTGAGCTTTGCGGATGATGTCCTTGTATTTTGTATGTACTGACATGGTAAGGACCGGAAAGAAGAAGCTAACGCGGTGCAACTGGAGCTGTATCAATTTGGGCAATGGTGTGTAGACCACAACGACAAGGCCTGTGTTGAATAATGATAACCACGCTGACGCAGTGAAAGTGAAAGCAGAGATGCCCATAGCCACAGTCACCGACAGGGTCCTGAAGAATAAGCACTCATTGGGATATATGTCTAGGTATCACCTTTTACAGATCAGTCTCAGGTAAAGATCACATAACCAGGATCAACCCAAGAGCCATAAAAGGTCTGACTGCACTAAAAACCATGGCTTGTAGCAGAATCCCGCAGAGAATTTTAGTATTTTAGCCATACGGCTCTTACTACATGATACATTGTACCAGACTCTTGTGCTGTCTGTGATAGACTATGGCCTCGGTCTCCTCACTTTGTCAACGTCGCAGCTGAAACGCCTTGAAAGAATTCAGAACGAAGGTACTATGCGGACTGTCCTCGGGTGCACAAGAGACACAGGCTATGCTTTATCTTCTTGGACCTCCTAGCCATGGTAGAACGTCACAAGATTGCTCGGGTGAAAGCGTATTGAGATAGTCAGCACCCACTGCATGACAAAGTGAGAAGAACTGTACACACACGTCTGCTTAGAGAGACTGAATGGATGAAAGGTAGCGACAACTTTGGCTAAATTATATAAAGTGCAAGACATGGTATCCGAAGGGGCAGCGCAAGGGTCAGCGTCACTGACACGCTTGGGCAGAATACTCAAGTGGTAGCAACCTCTGGCAGAGAATATCGAGAGTGGCCAGAGGGAGCAGCCAATGCCGAGGTACAGACGCTGATAGAGGAGAGCTGTGGACAGGGCAGGCATTTTCACAGATGGATCCGTAGAGCGTGGAGTCAAATCTGGATGGGCTTTCAGCGCCCGTGTAAACGGGGTCATACAGATAGAGCTGTCAGGCGCCACTTGTATAACCTCGTCCAGCATGTGCATGGAGATGAAAGCCATCACAGTATCACTGGAGTAAGATGACGGAGTATCAGTCTGCCATCCTTGTCACCGACTCGATGAGTACTCTCGAAAAAGTGGAGAAACACATGATGTATGCAGACTGGCGAGAGGCAATTCAAAGTAGCCGGCTCACAAGGATTGTATGGATCTTTAGTCCTGGTCATGCAGGAGTTCAAGGCACTGGACGTGCTGATGATAAGCTAGCCGACCAGGCTGAGATTGGCGGCACCATGCAATTAAAATTAAATCCACCTACAGTCATGGCATCATTGACAGCATGGTTCAACGACCACAGAGAGGATGAAGGCATCACATCCCACACAATGGAAAGTCTAAGGGAAGCTGGTGTCCCGAGAGGATCGGTCAGAGACAGCAACCTGCGTGGACTAGCCAGAAGAATATGTGAGGCGGCGTGGTGGAATCAGGCTCTCGGCAATTTTTGGGCATGTACGGTTATTGGTATCATCTTAAAGTTAAAGCTTATTCATTTGTCTTTATTTAGATGAAAAAAATATACATTTATCTTGAAAACAAGTCTAGATATTTGCGAAAGAAGAAGGTGGGGGTCACCTGTTTTCAGACGTGAAATTAGTGAGAAAATGGCCTCCAAAGATTATATATTTCCTTAGCTTAAGAGTCCGTGGTAACTGAAAATTTACATTTTTGTGCCTTTAATCAACGTTTTTCAGAAAAATCCACACAAAAATGAGTTGTTTAATGGGCATGAAAGGTGTTGATCCAAAAAACAAAAATTTGATAAAAATTTACAAACCTGCGGAAAAATGCAAGTTTCTTCACTTTGATTATTTTGACGAGAGCCTGATTCCACCACGCTGCCTCACATACCCATCCGGCTGATAACTGGCACGATCAGCAAGCAGACCCTTTCATGGATCTTGGAGAGGGGGGAGGAGCAGCTATGGCATTGTGCCGCCTGCAATGATGCTTATTCTCCAACCAAGTAAGTAAGTACTGGCAAATCTTAACCCATCTATGGTAAATCTGTACATGTATTGCACGATTGCCATGCGTAAGGAAAAAGTAGTGAGTCACCAATTACATAATGAAGCCTACAGCTCCAGCTGAACTTTACATTACAACTTATCATACATTATGAACATTTCTGCCGGGTCAATGGCAAGGTTGTGTCGCAAAACCCTGTAGACGCACATTTTAAAAAAGGCTGACTGTAAATTGTAAATACACGGTATACGTGTGAAGACCACACAGAAAGGGAGCTGGCAGTAAATACCTGTCCCCATTGGAATATGCGATTGAACCGCCGCATTTTTTCTAATAATTCAGCAACTTTTGCATAATTTTGGATTGCCTGCGTTTTTTCACGTTTTTAAATAAATTTTTCCCCAAAACATTTTAACGCCTCGTGATATGACTAAAGGGAAGTAATCGGAGTAATAAGTCTCATTTAAGTGACAAGATGGTTATTTCCCTTGTTGGGGATTTTTGTTCCTTGAGCATGTTCCATTTTTCTATCCATCAAAAGTTGTTCTCATGTCTGCTGATGTTTCATGTTTGACAGGTGTCCCTGGTTTTAATTATGTGCCAGCATCAGAGGTCCAGATGTCTTTTTTTTAAATTGTTAAAAATCATTTTTCTTTCCTCTCTACAGCTGAAAGTTACAGAGATTATACATGTATTTTTTGGTTGTTTTTTTTCTGACTGATGTGTATCTTTTCAAATACACAAAAAACTACTGATACTCATATGTTTTGTTTTCAATTCTTCTGTTCATAAATCTAAAACACGAAAACTCTTGTTGAAAAAGCGCAAAACGTGTCATGAATGGCGTAACGCTAACTTGCATAATTTTTACATAATTTTGCATTTGTCTTGCATAATTTGGCTATCTAAATTTGCAAAATTCTGCGGTGAGAGAAATACACGGTATACCGTAGAACGGTGTCCTTATAAAGACTGCACGGAGAGGGAGGGGGCTGGAAATAAAATATGATTATTGTTTAGCCTGCCAGAATTGTTGCTGTTTCAGTAATTGTATCCGGCACATGGCGTAGCGTACTGCTAAACTGTTCGTGTAGTAGGCCTAGATCTAAATAAACAATAATTGTACTTTTTGTACGTGGGCGAATAGAGATCCATTAAAAAAACACAACAAATCCTTTTAATGTTTCATGTTCAATGTTTGCAAAGTATAATAATACATGTAATAGATCTAGATATATATATATGTCAAATCGCTGGATTTTTTCTTTCTTTCTTTCTTTCTTTCTTTCTTCTTCTTCTTCTTCTTCTTCTTCTTCTTCTTCTTCTTCTTCTTCTTCTTCTTCTTCTTCTTCTTCTTCTTCTTCTTCTTCTTCTTTGT